TTGGCAAGCAGCTACTGGGTTGCTGCCAATGCTGTTATCTCAAAGAAATTCCTGACTGCTGGTTTTATTAACTCCTGGCTGACTGTTTGTGTGCGTGTGTGAGACGGGGACAGAACACCACTTTGCAAATCAGTTTATATCCTGTAATAGTATTAATCCTGTCTTTAAGGGTTCTTTTATAATAAATGCCAAGTCGTCAGCAAAGGCCTGTACTTTATATTCTTGTCCTCTAATTTTTAATCCTTTGATTTCCTGATTCTGCCTAATTTGTTGCAACAGTATTTCTATTGAAAAAATAAATAACAGAGGAGATAGGGGGCATCCCTTTCTAACTCCTTTTGTTATACTGAAACCTTCTGTTATTTCTCCATTCAATAGTATTTTTGCTTTCTGGTTTGAGTATATTGCTTTATTGTTCTAATAAATTTCTCACCAAAATTCATTACTCCTAGTTGGTTAATTAAAAAATCCCAATTTAAATTGTCAAATGCTTTTTGTGCGTCAAAGAATATCAAAGCTGCCTGTTTTTCTGGATGTATTTCGTAATATTCTAGTGTATTCATTATCGTTCTTATATTATTCTTGTGTTTGGTGGGTAGGAATCCATTCTGGTTTCGTTGTATGATTTCGTTTGGTATATGTTTCATCCTTTCTGCCATTATTGTCATGAATATCTTATAATCAGCATTCAGCAGCGAGATTGGCCTATAATTTTGGATTTTTTTTCTTTTCCACATTGTCTTTGGGAATTAAGGTTATCAGTGCCTCCATCCAAGATTTTGGTATCATTGCTCGCTCTAGTACTTCGTTATATGTTTGTAATATTAAATTCTCCAGTGGTCTTTGTAATTCTTTGTAAAATTCCACTGGGATTCCATCTGGGCCCGGTGTTTTATTGCTTTTTTGTTTTTGGATTGCCGTTTTTAGTTCTAACATCGTTATTTTTCTGTCTAATGTTTCTTTTATGTTTTCTGGTAGTGTTGGGAGGTTTCTCTGCTGTAAATATCTTTTAATGTCATCTTCCTCTATATGCTCCCGACTATATAGGTTTTGATAATATCTTACTGCTATATTTTCCTTTTCTTCCTTCTGATGGTGTGCTATCCCTTTTTCATCTTCTAGTTGTTGTATTAATTTCTTTTCTTTTTCTTTTTTTAATTTATAAGCCAACCATCTTCCCGGTTTATTAGCATTTTCAAAGTAGTTTTGTTTGGTTGCTCTAATTTTTTGCGCTATTTCTTCTTGTGTAATTAGATTAAGTCTATGTTTAATTATCTTTTTCATCTCTAATTTCCTGGTTGTGGGGTTCTTTCTGCATTTTATCTTCTAATTTTCCCAATTTCTCTTGCAATTCTATATATTGTTTTCTTTTATTTTTATTTCTTCATATAGTATATGCTATTGTAAGACCCTGGATGTAAGCTTTAGTTGTGTCCCACAGGTTTTGTATAGTTATTTCTTCATTCCAATTTTCCTGTAGGAATAACCCTAATTCTTTTTCTATGTGTTAAACGTAATTTTTTTCTTTCATTATCCTTTGATTCATGGTCCATCTCTTTTTTCTTCCCCCTTCCATTTGACTATTATTGGGTTATGATCTGCCCAGGTATTCAGTTTTGTCTCTATTTGCTCTACGGTTTTTCCTGTTTCTGAATCCATCCAGACCATGTCTATCCGGGACTATGAGTTATGTGGGTTGGAAAAACACGTATATTGATATATATTTTTTTTGTGGGTTAATTTCTCTCCAAATTCTTTCAGATTTAACTCTTGGGTCATTTCAAAGAACGTCTTTGGTAATGTTCTCCTTTCATAATTTTTTTTTACTTCCTGATTTGTAGTCTTTTTTGGGGATCAGCCACCGCGTTGAAATCTCCTAATACGCATACATTATCTATTTCCAATTCTACAATTTGTTTATGTAATTTGCAGTAATATTCTTTCTGTTGTGTGTTTGGTGCATATATGACTGCAATTAATATTCTTTTCTGTTTTATTAGTACCTCAATCAATAACGTTCTTCCCTCTTTATCCGCATATATTTGTTTGGGTTTTAACCAATCTTTTATATAGACTGCAATTCCTCTTTTCCTTACTTCTGTTAGGGCCAAAAATATTTTACCTAATTTAGGGGCTTCCAAAAAATTACCTTCTCCTTTTTTCGTATGGACCTTCCGTAAACAGATAATGTCTGTGTTTTGTTTTTGGAGTTTAGCAATTACTTGTCTTCTCTTTATCGGTGAGTTTAATCCGTTTATGTTAACTGAAAATAATGTCACTTCTTCCTCCATTCCACTACTTATTTGTCACCCTTACTTCCCTCCTTTGTCTCATTTCCTTTTGCTTTCTTGTTCTCATTCCTTCTCTTTCCTGGGTCTCAGTATCACTTCTCTCTCTCGTATCTTGTTCCAGTCCCTTTTCCTCTAGCTGTTGTTCTTCTTGACTTTGGGTTTCCAGTTCTTCTCTGCTGTCTGATTCTTCCTCTATATATCGTGCATAAAATTCCTGAGCTTTATCCATTGTGTCTATCCTTATTTTCTTATCCTGCCATGTTATTAACAATCCTTCTGGCATCAACCAGCGAAATATTATTTTATTTTTTATTAATTGTTTTGTAAGGAACTGGTAATCTCTTTGTTTCTCTCTTATTCTCTTTGGTATCTGTTTGAGAGTTATGACCTCTCTTCCTTTGTAGGCCAATTGATCACCCATCGTTCTTCTATAAACTTTGTCCCTGACTGCTCTTTTTGCAAACCTTGTATGTATCTCCCGTGGTAGTCTGTGTCTCCTATCATAATTTGTTTGCACCCTATATATTTCATCAATCATCATTAATTCATTTTTATCTATTTGTAGTGGGTCAGCTAGAATGTCTGTCATCAATTTGTGTAGGTCTTCATCTCTTGTTTCTGTGATATTTTGGAACCTCAGATAAAGGAAGATCTCTCTAATTCCAAATGAGTAATTGCCTCTACTAAGTCTCTATTTGCCGCTGTCAATCTTTCTTTGGTTTCTTCTAGTTTCTTTTCAGTTTGATCCGTTCTTACTTCTATCGCTTTTATTTTCTGTTCATTTTTAGTTATTGAATCTTGAATTTTTCCCATTCTATTATCCAGTTTCTTTATGTCTTCTTTTACTTCTCCTAATTCACTCTTCATATCCTCATGATTGTTTGTTATTGATTCCTGCATTTTTATCATAAACTCCTGAATCATATTTAATGAAGATTGTAGACTTTGCAGGGTTGGTGTTGGTCCTGGTTTTTCACTGCACGCCATATCTGTAATTAACTTTTGCCCTGCTAGAGAAGCTGTCATTGACATTGGTTTTTTTTTTTTGCCACCTTAGTTACTGTGGATGTATTTGACATTTTTAAATTTTTGAAAAAATTATTCCACAATACCATCAATTGTCACGTTTTTCACTCTAAACCTTCCTTACAATAATAATACAGTGTTAGCATCCAATTTCTTAAAATTTCTTATAACTATTATACCTATGAGTAAATATAAGGATCTCTATGTATACAATTATTAATCAACAGTAGGTATTTAAGACTAGTTAATTTGTTTAAATATACATATCAATCAATCAAAAGTTTGAAATCAGAAAAAGCAATATATTTCTATAAACTATTAAAGTTTAGAGCTAATAATTCAATGTAAATTTCTCAGTAGTAAGTCTCTTTCGGGCTTATCTAAGTATTTAGAATATACAATAAAAGTTTGAAATATCCAGGTATTCACAATATACAATTCTTTAAGAAGAGGTCTCCTTCAAAGTCATTTAAGTTACCGCAGTTCTTTTCTTTAGTCTCTCTGTTCACTCTGCAACTTCCTTGTTTTCTGCTTCCAGAACGGTGGCTGCCTTCAAATTGCACTGTCACTGTCTTTCTCTTCACTTTTTTTTTTATTTTCCTTCACTTCAATCACCACTGTCCCCAAAAGGTAGCCTTTTCTTTCTTCCTGCTGAATTTCACTGCAGGTTTTTTTCTTTCAAAACCCTGTTTCCAAGGTATCAACTGTTCAATCCACACTCACAATCGCTTTCCCTCCTCACCAATCCACAGGAATTCCAACTTCTTCATTTTCCGCTCCCACCGCTAAGGCACCACCACCTCCACCTCGGAGACTCACTTCTATTCAGTAGTTTTTGTAAATCCCATCCACCAGAGAGATAGTTCGGTGTCCCACGTTTTTTCTTTTTCCTATCCACTGATACTTCTGCTCTTCTCACTTTCTGCTTCCTCTCATATCTTTGTCAGGCCACCACGTCTCTGGACCTCGCCTTGACAGCTGGTCTCTTCTACGCCGGTATTCAGGGCTCTCACCCTTCGTAACGGGGGATCACTCCTCTCCCCATCACCTCTGGATGTTCCCCTCACTATAGCTGTCCCCTCCAAGGACCTGCTTTGCCGTTATTGGCTTCCAAAATGCAAAAAATCAGGCAGGGAGAACGGAGTCTAGTTCCCCTGCACCGCACCAGCGTGGCGCCACCCCGGAAGTCCCCCAATTCTGTTTTTCAATTTAACTTCTCTAAGTGTCATTTACAAGGTAGCTGCTGGCCAGCAGCACCTGTTCAGGGAGGAAGAGGAGAGTTAGACCCCCCTCTCTGACCAATGCCCGTACAGTAGCCAGTAGGAAAGAAAGCCATTTCAGATAGCAACATTGCTTGGATTGGTGAAGTAGCTATTACATGCTTGTTTCTTTTTTCTACACTGGTGAGGATTAAGATATTATGTTATATGTATATTAACATTTAATATTAAATATTACATTTCATATTGTCCCAAAAGTGCTTTTTCAAAAGGCAACTGGACTTTGTTGTTTCTTTGAAGACATTCTCTTCTCATCCAAGAAACTTCTTCAGCTTAAAAAAAACCCCAAAGTCCAATTGCCTTTTGAAAAAGCACTTTTGGGACAATCATGACCTGGATGACTGAGAATGTCTATATACATTTCATATTATTATAAAGCCTGTTTCCCTTTCTTCTCCATCAGGGTTACAGCATGAAGGTATTTATCGGAAGAATGGAGCAAAATCTCGTATCAAAATTTTGATGGAGGAGTTCCGACGAGATGCAAGAAATGTCAAGTTGCATATCAGTAACAATTTCGTTGAAGATGTCACAGATGTGTTGAAGAGATTTTTCCGGGAGCTTGATGATACTATCTTCACTACACATTTACATCCCCAGTGGAATGAGACCACAGGTTTCATCCTTCTTTCTTATATTGCCCTACTTTATCAAGCCACTTGGGTCTCTATGACAGCAGACCATTTTTTGGTTGTCTGTATTACTTAGTTCATTGCGAAGCTGCCATTCTCTTGAATCTTTGTCTTGAGCCTCCAAAAATTATACAATTTATCATTTTATTTATTTGTTACATTTTTGAAATGCCCATCTCCATCATCCATGTAAATCCTTGGGAAACTATTTTTAAATTTAATTAACATATTTTTATCTATATTTCAAAACAGAGGAGGGCAACTATGCCTTGCAGTGTGCATGCAACCCATCCAGAATCTTTCCTACAGTTCCTCCAAACCATCCTAGATGATATCACTGAAATTCAATGGCAAACACTGGGCGTTATCCAACAAAACACAATTCAGTGGTGGCCCTACACAAGAACAAGAAAAAGCAAATGCACAAGTATAGAATAGGTCATACGTGATTCAACAGTTGTCAAAAAAGCCAATGCAGTCCTGGGTTGCATCAACAGAGGATAGTTTCAAGATCACATGAATTGATAGTATTGCTTTATAATGAACTGATGAGACCATATTTGGAATACTGTGTCCAGTTCTGGTCACTATGATACAAAAAAGATATTGGGACCCTAGAAAAAGTGCAGAGAAGAGCAACAAAGATAATAATGGGTCTGGAGTTTAAATCATATGATAAACGTCTGAAGGAACTACCGTGTTTCCCTGAGGGACTTATTTTCTTTTGCCCCCCCCAAATAAGGGCTTGGCCTTATTATTGGGGGGTCTTATTATTTTGGGGGTGCAGGAGGCGGTGAGCATGGGACTGGATGTCCCGTCACTGCCATTGCCTCCCCTCCCCATTCTTCATGCCAGCCAAGCGGCTGGCCACCGCTGCCCTGACATGTCCCACTGCCGCTTCCTCATGGAGCAGGACTTTGCAAGGCTTGTGCCGTTGCATGCATGAAAAGCAACACCGCTGCAACTTCATCATATTGGCACAGCTGGTGTCCTGCAGCTTGTGGCTGCACCGGTATGTCGAACCTCGCAGCAGTGCTGCCATTCGTGCGTGCAATGGCACAAGCCTTGCAGAGTCCTGCTCTATGAGACGGAGGCAGCAGCATGACGAGTCTCATAAAGACTCATTTCTGGCAGGTGGGGTGGGGAAGAAGCGAGATGCATGAAGCGAGACATGGCTTCCCTTGCCATCTCTTCTCCCTGCCTCACCAGGCATGACAGGGCTCCTGCCCCTTGCTTAGCCACCCGCCCCCTTTAGGGATGCAATTTGGGAATGGCAAGTGGGGCAGGCGAGAAGCAGGATGTGTGTCTTACCTTTCCAGCACTGTTGCATTTCTCACCGTTGTGTCCAGGGAAACACATTATAAAAGAAAACTCGTGAGTTTGAGGTTTTACAATGTGTTTCCCTGGGCACAACGGCAAGGAACGCGACAGAGCTGCAAGTCTCTGGTAAGACGCATGTCTCATGGTGGAGTACAATTTGGAGATGGCAGATGGGGCAGGGGATGGGGCAGGGCAGGCCGCAGAGAAACTTGGAAGCTGCAGAGGCAGAGTTTGGGGGAGAAAAAGAAATACTTCTGCTGCTTTCCTTGCATGCAGCCAAAAGCAGAAGCAGCAGAAGTCTTCCTTTTCTCCCCCAAACTCTGCCTCTGCAGCTTCCAAACCCCAGCCAGGGCAGCCGCCACTCTGGGAGTGTACTTCCCACTCTATGGTGATGGTCGCTGGAGTCCTCCCCTTCCCCCCTGCTCCTCTCCACTCCAATCATCCCATGGTCCCCCCACCTGAGCAGTTATCGACCAGAGCACCCGCTGGCAAGCCCCTCCACCTCGGGAGTCACCGGATGGGACAGTGACTGGGCTGGACTCTTCCTGGAGAGGGGAGCCTTGTGGGGGCCCTGCTGCTCTCCCTTCCTCCTGCAGGCCCTGCTTACTCTTCCCAGGCACCCAGCAATGAGATGCTGGGCAGCTGCACCAAAGGCAGCCCTGACAAACGTAGCTCAGCTAGCCCAGCCATGGCCAGCACTCCTCACCCACAGTTGAGTTTGGCCTCAGGGGGCCGGCCGGTGCCTCCGCAGGTGGCAGCGGCAGCACCAGCAACACCCGCAGTGCCTCAGCCATCCCCACCGAGAGCCCCGTGCCCAGCTGCAAGTTGTAGTCCTCTGCGACTGCCCCACCGTGCGACTCTGCTTCCACCAGAAGCGCATGTGCCAACTTCCACCTGCCATGTATGGAGGCCTCCCTGCCACTGCTGGCTGCCCTGCCGAGGAAGCCCCGGGACAGCGATACTGGTGCTGCTATTGCGGGTGCTCAGTAGCAAGAGTGTGTGGGCTGCCATCGTGGTGCAGGAGTGGGCACTTGAGGTCTACGGTTGATGCCGTGGGCAGCGGGGGCAGCGGAAGGGGCAGGTGGGGTGCAGGAGTTCGCAGGAACCTTGGGAGGGTTGGGGGGGAGGGACCTGTGTGTGTGTGAGAGGGGGGGGGGACAGAGAGAACATTGCTGCCAGCCCTGGATAACTCTCCAAGGTTGAATTGGATCTCTCTCTCTCTCTCTCTCTCTCTCTCTCTCTCTCTCTCTCTCTCTCTCTCTCTCTCTCTCTCTCTCTCTCTCTCTCTCACACACACACACACACACACACACACACACACACACACACACACCATTCTTTCTTTGGGATCACAGTACAGATGCCCCTCGCAGGATTGGAAGGCTGAAGGCTTCGGATGGAGCATTTTGGGGATGTCTGAGCACAGCACAGTCTGTGCTGTGATCCCAAATAAAGAATGATCAGCAGGAAAAGGGGGAGGAGGCTGCAGCTGGGGAGGTTCTGTGGAGATCTGGGCCGAGTTACACAGCCCTTGCTGGCTCAGCTGATCAGTGGGCAGCAATTAAGGGGCCGAACCTCAATGAGGTGACCGGGGAAGGGAAGGCTGCCTCCTGTGCTGGCCATGCCCACTCCTTCACTAGGGCTTATTTTTGGGGGAGGGCCCACCCCAAAAATCAGGCTTGGCCTTATTTTCAGGACATGTCCTATTTTCGCGGAAACATGATGGGTATGTCTAATCTAACAAAGTGAAGACTAGGGTGATATGATAGTACTCTTCCAGTATTTGAGGGGCTGTCACAGAGAAGAAAGAGTCAACTTAGCACCTGAGGCAGGACAAAAAGTAATGGGTGGAAAATTATCAGAGGTCCAACCTAAAACTAAGGAGAAATTTCCTGACAGAATAATTAATTGTGGAATGGCTTACTTTTGGAAGTTGTGCATGCTCTATCACTGGAGGTTTCCAAGAAGAGATCATTTGTTCTCAACCATTTGTTCAGAAATGGTTTCAGAAATGGGTTTCCAGCAGGGTTTCCTGCTGGAGAAGAGGGTTGGAAGACCTCCAAAGTCACTCCCAACCTTATTATTCTATTTTCCCTGTCAGAAAAAAAAAATGTACACAGTCATAATTAAAGTTGCCAATGCTTGCTTTAAGTAAAATACCTTGAGTGTGTATAAATCTTCAATAAAATCTTCAATAAAAAAGTGAGGGCTAGCTCAGCAAGATTATTCACTGACAAAAGAGAAATTGGGAAGAAAGAAAAAATAAGAACTATATACTTTGTCTTAAGAAGTAACCTGAATCATCAACAGATGACACAGAAGAAAATTCTCAGAAACTGTATGTGTCTTCCACAGTCCTCTTATAAACAATGCACATATAGAAACCTTGTTTTCTGATACCCATTTTATTTGTCCCTTGGTCTCTACACTTGAATCAATATATCTTGCAAAAAGAGAAAAACCACAAACTATATGGTGAACGTACCTCAAATTTCTGATCAATATAGGACATGTTTTGATTTCATGCAAACTATAGTCACTAAAATTTAATTCTATGGTTCTCTTCCTTAGAAATTTCCCAGAAACCCCAGTGCCTGGAAAGATACAAGGAGCTAATGAACTGCTTGCCCCATCTCAACCGCAGAACCTTGGCTGCTTTGATTGGCCACTTGTATCGGTTAGTCTGTTCTTCCTCACTTGTTCCTGTCAGAACTTTCATGACATATTATTTTTTTAAGTGCCCCTTAGATATACTGATACGTTTGTTTCGAAGATTAAGACCTCAGAATGTGGAATTTGAGCTCTGCAGAAAGAAAGAAATCAAGGACAATAATCAGCAAAAACAAAAAAACTACTACTTTCTATAGTGTAGTTGTTGCTACACTTGGTCTTTTGAACCTTAGATTTGAATCTGTTTCCCAGGTCCATTTTTATTTTCTAAAACACAAATCTGTTTCTGAAAGCCCTTCATGTTTGTTACTAAAAGATTTGTCCCCCCGCTGCTGCAATCAACTATTGAATTATTAGCAGTCATAAATAAATTCAACCAGATTAAAATAACCAAATCTACAATATCTAGTGGCAATATGTGCAATGGTGACAGGTCTTACTCCCAAATGCTTCCAGTTTTCAAACATTTCCAGAAGCCCAACAGTAATGGTGTTCCCATTACGTGAAGAAGAAAGCTATAGGACTTCATTGGTTAAAACCAGCACTTTGAATTGTATCTTGAAATTTACTGGTAGCCAGTGTAGCAATTGTAAAATATATGATAACAGTAGTTACATTTGCCAAAACTATTACTTTTTGAACCAATGCAATATTCAAGTAATCCTCAACAGCAGCCTAATATACAGTATATCACATTGTAGTATGGTAGTAAATGTATGAGTGACCACTCCCTTGCCTCCTGTAATAGGGAAGATACATCCAGAGATGAACAAAGTGCCCCCTGCTAAAGCTTTCATCTTCTTATCTGTCAGGAGCTGTAAATCCAAGGAGACCTCCATATCATATAACTCCTCTTTCAAGAGCAAGTCCAATGCTCCAGAATTATGTCTGAAGCAGATGAAGATTTGTATAGATAGTTACTTCATCTTGCTAGTATTCAATTTCCAAGCCTCAACAGTCTCTAAACATTTGTTCAAAATATTTATGGCTTGGCCAAAGTTGAGAATATAAAGCTGCCTATCATCAGCTCAACCCAAACTGATTAACACATACAGATGTTTTGTGTAAATGTTAAAGCAGCGGGGGGCTGGGAAGCATTGAGCTTCATGAGAATTACTACTGATACCATCCACTTAGAGATACTTTTGCTTCAGTGGTTCTGTTTCATTCTAAGATCAAACTCTTGCAGTTGATGCTGAATGATATTGTGTTATCAAACACTCATGAGAAGTCTAAAAGGACTATAAGGAATGTATCCCCCCATTCAGGTCTCAAAAAAAAAAGCATGTTTCCATCCCATGATTGAATCCAGACTGAAATGAATATAGATAGCCTACTTATTCAAGAGCACCATGTAACTAACACTCCATCCTTTCTTGTTGATAGTTATACCTAGACTTCTGTTTGCAAGTATAACAGACCCTGCAGATTTCCCTCTGCTCACTGCCTCCCCTTATTGGACACAGTTTTTAATTCGGTCTTTTTTGCTCTCCACTGCAGGGTACAGAAATGCGTCAATCTCAATCACATGAGCACCAAGAACTTAGCTTTACTATTTGCTCCCAGTCTCTTCCAGACAAATGGAAAAGGGGAACAAGAAGTCAAGGTGATAGAGGATTTGATTGACAACTATGTTCATATTTTTAATGTGAATCTGAGTCTCCTTCCCACTGTATCATTACATATTTGTTTTATGTGTATTTTACTGTAGCTTTTCTTTTACTCTAGATCGGTGAAGACCAGGTGTTACAAATGGACTTGGAGAACAGTTTGATTACTACCTGGCAGGATGTGAAGGTACTACAGTGCCTACTATCCTTCCCTTTTGTGTATTGCTTAGCAGATATATTGACAACATCAGAATAGAGTTGGAAGGGACCTTGTAGGTCATCTAGTCCAACTCCCCACCCAAGCAGGAGTCCCTACACCATTTCTGACAGATGGCAGTCCAGTCTCTTCTTGAAAGCTTCCAGTGATGAAGCTCCCACAACTTCTGAAGGCAAGCTGTTCCATTGGTTGATTGTTCTCACTGTCAGAAAATTTATCTTTATTTCCAGGTTGAATCCCTCCTTGTTCTGTTTCCATCCATTATTCCTTGTCTGGCCTTCAGGTGTTTTGGAAAATAACTTGACCCCTCTCTGGCAGCTCCTTAAATATTGGAACACTGCTATCATGTCTCCCCTGGTCCTTCTCTTCACTAGACCAGCCATGCCCAGTTCCTGCAACAGTTCATCATATGTTTTAGCCTCCACTCCCCTAATCATCTTGGTTGCTCTTCTCTGCATTCTTTCTAGAGTCTCAACATCTTTTTTATAGTATGGTGACCAAAACTGGATGCGGTATTCTAGGTGTGGTCTTACTTTATAGAGTGGTATTAGTACCTCACTTGATCTTAATTGTATCCCTCTGTTAATGCAATTTAGGGTTCCTTTGGCTTTTTTGGCTGCCGCTGCACACGGCTGGCTCATATTTAAATGGTTGTTCACTAAGACTCCAAAATCTCTTTCACAGTTACTGCTATTAAGCCTGGTTTCACCCAGTCTCTATGTGTACTTTTGGATTTTCTTGCCTAAGACTTTACTTTTCTCTACATTGAATTTCATTTTGTTAAATAAAACCCAGTGTTTAAGTCTGTCAAGATCCATCTGGATCTTGAACCTATCATCTAGGATGTTGACTATTCCTGCCAGCTTAGTATCATCCACAAATTTGGTAAATACCCCTTCTATTCCCTCATCTAAGTCATTTATGAAGATATTGAAGAGTACTGGGCCTAAGACAGTACTAACCCCACTGCTTACTTCCCTCCATGTAAATGTAGTACCAGTAAGAACTTCTCCTTGACTATTGTTTGTCAGCCAGTTACAAATCCATCTGATGGTGATGCTATCTATCCCACTTTTTTCTAGCTTACCAAGAAATCAGCTATCAGGGGCTAGTAACCAAAACCACTTTGTGTATATGCCCATGAGGACACTTTATTGCTGATTACTTATAATACAAGAAACTCACCCAATTGTCTACCTTCCCTTGGGAATTGGCAGATAAGGGTTTGAACTCAGATGTTTTCTCCCTGAACTGACTCCAGGCTGGAATGTATTTTTACTCCCATAGAGGAGCCTCTTCTTCTTCAGCAAGTGATTCTACCACACCAGTAATTAAATAAACATTTTCTTAAGACAGGGATAGTACACCTTTTCAATATTTATATGATCAAAGAATAGTAATGTCAAGTGCTGAGAAAATCAGGAGATTCAGACAGTTCAATTGAGTATAACGAATTATTGCAAGCTTAACTTCTGTGCAAGAATCTGACCAGCCTGCCATTAAGAGAAATGAGCGGAAGATAAGGGAGGCATCCAAGGTGGGCTGGACTTAGATCTCTTGTGGGTGCACAGGGATTCACAACTTATTATATATTTGACCCCTCCCTTGGGCTCAGCCTGGTCATCTCCTAGATCATCCATCCTTTCATCTTGGCCCCCCCTCCTCTTCCATGGGTTCTTCTATGCTGCTTTTCCATTCCAGCATTGTGCTTCAAAGTCTGAGTTCTCATGGGAACATGTCAGGGGCAGAAGGGAGACCATCTCAAAAGAATCCTCCTCACACTCCTCTGCAGCAGCTGGTGAGCCTGGTGGTGGTTGCTCTAATACAAACATCATTAGAGGTTCCCTCCCCTCCTCTTCCCAGGAATTGAAGGTCAGATGGGGAAGGCCCATCATAGGTGAGTCTCCCTCCTCCTTCAGGAAAATGCTGAGAGATTCCTCAGGCAAAACTGAGTGGTGTGCTGGTAGTTTGGTTGGCTTTGATTTGTCAGGGAAGTGCTGGTGGAACTGACAAACCAAATTGGGGACATGAACATACCATGCATTTTCCCAGGAGCAATCAGAAATCAGGTAGGCCTTCCAATGAATCAAGAAAAGAGGTCTTTGCCTCTTTTCCAAGAGTCGAAGATTTCTTCCATCTTGTATTCTGGTTCTCCCTCTACTATGACTGGTGGTAGTGGGTGTCACTGGGATCTTATTGTGCTTGGGGGGGTGGCATTTTTGACAAATAATGCTAAATGAAAGACTGGATGCACCTTCACTGAAGGGGGTAATGTAGGTGGAAGACCAAAGGTTGATTTGTTGGAAAACTTTGAAGGCACCCACAAACTTAGCATCTAGTTTCTTGGAAGGTCTTGAAGTGGCTAAGAACCTAGTAAAGAGCCAGACCTTGTCTCCTACTGCTATGGGTGGACCCTCCTGCCGATGTGCAAGTTGCTGTTTCAACAGGTCTTGGGCTGCAAGTTGCTCTTCTAATAAGCACACACACACACACACACACACACACACACACACACACACACACACATAAGGGAGAGACAGAGAGAGACAGAGAGACAGAGGGAGGGAGGGAGGGAGAGTGAGAGCATATGTGTGTTATGTATATGTATGTATATGGATAGATATATATTGTAAGGTCCTGCCTCACCAGTCTTCTCAAGAAAGCAGAACTCTTGAAATGAGCTCTCCCAGAGTTCTCAGGCAATTCTACAATAAAATCCATAGAGATCTCTCTCCAGGGTGCTGAAAGGTCTGCCACTCGCTGGAGTAGACCAGGGGTCTTTCTCTGCCTGCGCTTAGCAGCAGTGCAAATGGGACAGCTTGCTACATAGCTTTCTACATTCTTCTTCAATGAAGGCCACCAGAGTTGCTGCTTTAGTAACTGTAAAGTCTTCACAAACCCAAAGTGACCAGCTAATCTGGATTTGTGACAGGCTTGCATAATTTTCAATCTTTCCTTAGCTGGAACATACAGTTTGTCTCCCACCCAAGCTAACCCATCCTTTATTGTGCAGGTATGTTTATGGGTGCAAAACCACTCATCTATTTCCAATGCTTTTTTGAACTCTGTGATGATGTCTAAGGCGGAGGGGTCTTTCTTCACCTGGGTGCATGTGACAACTTTGGCTGCCAGCTGGGAAGCCAGGAGCATGGGCTTAATTATTTCCACTTTAGCACTGTTGTAGTGAGGTAGTCTGAACAAGGCATCTGCCAGAAAGTTTTTTCCCCCTGGTAGATACCTCAAAGTAAAATCAAACCATTGGAAATACTGTGCCCATCAGACCTGTTTTGGGAACATTTTCCTCGGGGTTTTGAGAGCTTCTAAGTTTTTGTGGTAGGTCCACACCTGGAAGGGTATTTTATTCCCCTCCAGGAAATGTCTCCAAGTCAGGAGCGCCCACCTGACTGCAAAAGACTCTTTCTCCCATATCACCCACCTTTGTTCAGTTTCAGTTATTTTTTTAGAGGTGTACATGTATGGTTGCAATTTGCCTTCTTCATTTTCTTTGAGTAGGACTGCTCCAACTGCCATGTCACTGGCATTGGCTTGAATTACAAACAGTTTCTCTGGATCCGGGTGTTTTAACACTGGTTCAGCCAAAAAAAGTCTTTTCAGTTTTGTTGTTTGGTATTCCATAGACCATTTTAGTGGCTGGCTGGGTTTCAGCTTATCTATCGCTTTGGTTTTCAATAAGTTAGTAATTGGAAGCACTATCTGGGCAAAAGAAGGGATGAATTGCCTATAGAAGTTGACAAAGCCCAGGAAGTTCTGCAACTCCCACTCTGACTTTTGTGGGATCCATTTCCACTCCTTGGTGGGAGAGTCGGTATCCCAAGTAATCTATTTTGTCTTGGTGGAATTCACACTTGGATAGTTTGGCAAACAACGTAGCTGATCTTAGCTTTTTCAAGACCTCCTGCACTAATTTCACATGTTCAGCCTTAGTTTCAGTATAAATCAATATGTCATTAAGATAAACCAAAACCCCCTTGTACAAGTGCTCATGCAGTACTTCATTAATCAGCTGCATGAAAATGGCCGGAGCACCTTGGAGTCCAAACAGCAAAACTTTGAACTGAAAACACCCCAACGGGCAGTTAAATGATGTTTTCCATTCATCTCGCTCCCAAATTCAAATCTGGTAATAAGCCTCCCTTAAATCTAATTTGAAAAAAAAATCCTGCCCTTTTCCAAGTGGGCCAGCATGTCCTTCATCAGAGGTAGGGGTACACATTTTCCTTGCAAATAGCATTCAAATTTCTATAGTCCATGCATAGACATAGCAAGCTGTCTTTTTTCTCTCGGAACAGTACTGGGGTGGCCACCTTGGGTCTGGCAGGTTTGATTAAGCTGCACCTGAGGTTTTTGTCTATGAATTTGTGCAGTTCATCCAGCTCCCGAAGGGTCATCTTGTATATTTTTGGCTTAGGTAATTTAGCCCCTGGTAGAATCTCAATGGCACAGTCTGTGAGTCTATGAGGGGAGTTCATCCGAAGCCGCTTCGCTAAACATATCCACTAAATTTTGGTACTCCCTGGGAATGCCCAGTAAGGGTCTGTTTGTTGTGGCAGCAGCTACTTCCTCACAGTGTGACATTCCTGCCTTGTAAGGCTTCTCCATCTGAGCCAGTTCACCATTAGGGAATCAGAGGGTCTCCTCGGTCCAATCCACCCTCAGGTTCCATGTCTTTAGCCAGGTTAATCCCAAAACTAGAGGCCACTCCATTCCTGGCATCATTATGAAAGCAATGGTTTCGGAGTGGTTTGCCATTGTGAGCTCCAGCAGTTCAGTAGCGCACATGGCTAGAGTGCCTCCCACGATGGACCTGTTAAGTTGGCAAAAAGAAACTGGAGTTTTTAATGTCCTCAGTTGGATTCCCAATCTTCCAAGTAAAGCAGGGCTTATTAGGTTCCTCATGCATCCCGAGTCCAACAATGCCTTACTTCTTACTTTTCTTCCCATTAGTGGGA